AATAAATTTGATTATAAATTACCTCTGGCACGAGCTCGTGTCATTCGTTTCATAGGAGATGGCGGACTTTCCATTTCAGATTGTGAACTAGGCTCTGATACACCCAGCTCATGATCTCTAAAAATTAAGTACTGGTTAACAATGTGTGACAATATACTAATATTAAAATTAAAAAAATATGATTGGATATTAAACAATATATTAAAAGTTCAGGGTACTAGCAATCATCAAGAAAATAGCTGTAACAATAAAACTCACTCTGCGCTGTTTGAATGATAATCAACAGAAGGAGTTGCTGGGGTTTCAGGATTCTCATACTCCGGAGGAATGGGGTCATCCATTCGAATGCGCTTTCCGCCTCGCCGATGCATTTTGATCAATTATGTTTTTTATCTGTAAAAGATTTGTTTTTTAATTTTTAAGTACTTGCTAGAACAATTAAAGCTCTACATTATAGAATATTAATAGAAAATAGAAAAATACTGCAAATACACTTATCTATGTGATTTAATTATACTAAATAACTTCAATATAGATTTTGAAAACGTTTATAGAATTGAATTCTATTTTGGAGTGGTGAAGTAAATTATAATATGGTATTTAACAATAACAATAATAACAATAATATATTTTGATAATGAATTTGCATATTGGATTGGTGTGTGCTATTGGATTGGTGAAAGGTGTGTGTTAGTATAGCTGATCATATTCACTCATTTTCTTATTTTTTTGGGAAAAGTCTCTAATTGCAAAATACACTTTTTTTTCCTCGTCTATTATGTAACCTTTGTTTACTAAACATCATTGTTTTATCATTCTGCTTCTCGTGAAACTTTAGCCTTTAGTAATATCAATACTTTCTTTTGATACTGACCAATTTGTTGAAGAATTGATAATATATTTCCAGATTTCTTATTATTTCATTTTATGTTTTAGCGACACAACTCCTGCAGCTATTAATTATTCATGCACTATTGCGCAAACAGTATTATGTTATACAAACAAGCCATTTGACCTTTCGATCTATATACGTCTGGAAGTTGTCTTATGATGCTACTTTTAGGAAACTTTTGTGAATTCACTAAATAATGTTCGGCTAGTCATTCATTTATTACATGAGCAAGTCTATTAACATTAAACAATGCTATTTGCCCTTTTATTACATGTAATCTGAACATAGCATAAAACTATGCCAAAAAGTACGGCATGAATATTTTTCATAAATTCTGTGATTTTTATTTTATGTATTATCTTTAAAATTTCATACAAATATTTCAACACAAGAATTACCAAAAAAAATCATTGCACTCTAATGTGACATCACTTAATAACCTAAACTGTTTATTACCTGCACTTTGTCAAATATAATTATGTTAAACCTTCTTAATATAATTTATTCTTCGAGGAATCAGCATAAAGTAATTTCACATCCGTGCAATTAGGCAAAAACATTAAATTCTTCAAGTTTCTAAATATCTAGATGTTTGCTGAAATGATTTTAGCGCCTAAATTTCATAGCTAATGTAGCAGATATCAGACACACTTTGGAAAAACTCCTATACTACAAATTATTCACAAATCTAAAATACATTTAAAACTTTAAAACGTAAGTATAAAATGAAAAAAAAACATTGACGTTTATGAATTCTTGTTGTTTTGAATACATTTTGTTACCAGTGCCATTAGCGCCATAGTAAACAAAAGTAGAACGCCATCTCCATAGAGGAAAAAAACATTATATAGATGGCCACTTGAGCGGAGCCACCATAGATAAATAAACATAAAGTGGGAGCCACTTTTGGGAACGTTTGTCACCATAGATAAAAGAAGAGTATATAGATCGCTCTCTTGGGCCATATTTCGTTGCCACATTCCTGTGTTAGTTGAAGCCCCTCTCTACAGATGGCACTTGTCGCCTGAACGGGTGCGTATAAAAAATACTATAGAAATGAACCAAAATTATATGGACCGTTTTAATTCAAAATTTAAAAAAATAAATATTGAAAAAAAAATTGAATTTTTAGAAACATTTATTTTTCACAAAAGCATTCTACATTATATCTACATAGTAGTTCTCTTTATAAACAATGCACACTAGCATAGAAATGTACATAAATATACACATTATCCACAATATATATATATATATATATATATATATATATATGATGAAAAAATATCTAAAAATTTACAAATATATATATATATATATATATATATATATATATATATATATGTGTATATCATTTTAGCATATGTATATAATATCATATCAAGCTGAGCACAAAAAGAATAGAAATGTACATGAAAGTATATATTATTTATATATATACATATATAATTTATCATTTATACCTATACATATATAACCATAATTCATACCTGTATGTGATATATTTACATGTATATATTTATGTTGATTAACATTAAGTTACATATAATATCTATGATGTACAGTCTCTATTTGGGAATCTTTTCTGCGCTATTGTTAATGTGCATTCAAATATTGGTTCAAAATGTCATTATTATCATTGTCTTAAAGAAAAACAAATCATTGATATTATTATAACAGTACTTAATAATTTTCTTATAGCATCTACAATAAGACATTTTAGAGTAAAACTATTGACATCTCTTTCAGAATAGTCATGCAATAAACAGTGCACATTAACAGTGTCTTATCCCTTTGCACTAGCTAGAATTTTATAATTAATCATGATTATACTTTGCCTGTCATTTGACAGTTCCTGAAAATCTATACAATGTGATTCCCTTTATCATCATTAAACAACGCAGATAATAATATTTCTTGTAATATGAAAACGAAATTATTAATACTTAAAAACTTTTCCTGTGACATAGCCAAACCTAAAGAAGAGTACATTTTGCCTTAAGGTAAATTGCATAAATTTTTCGATATGAATAAAATTAATCAAATATTCAGATAAAATGAATAATTGTACTATTCATTTCGAAAATAAAGATTTTGCTTTTATCAAAAGTTGTACAAATTAAATCAATTTGTTTAACACATTTCATTTCATTCTTTTCGTGTTTTTAAAATATATTTTATTCGAGTGTGGACGTAAACTGTAATCAGTAACTGTCTACAAAACAGCCCAGAACCCAGAACGTGCATGTACTTCGGCATAGATTCTGATTCGAATGTAATCAGAAAATTCTAAATTTTGATGTTTTTTTTAATCCAAACGCTCGAAAGCCTATAACATTTTAGCATGTTATTTCAAACTATGAACTCTATCGTTTTACAAAGTTTCATCAAATTCATCAGAAAAAAAATTCAACATTTCGGGGATATGGAATTCTCGTTTGTTCAAAATCCCATAAGAAAAAAGATAATATTTTTATACATTTATACTTTTTGTTAATTATTTGAAAGGTAGATAAATTCAATTTTTATGCTTTTGAATTATATATTATATATAACTGTTAATTATATAAAAATAATTAACAAAAATGATTCCACAGTAAATTCGAAAAATTAATGTTTCTTCATTGAATAAAAACGATCAGCTCGCAGCAAATGTGCAATTATCGTTTTGGGCAATTATGACCCATATAACTAAAATCGCTATGTGCCTCTGTGAATATTTTTGGCTCCATATAATTTGATCCAATATATAACTAAAAAAGAAATCACCATTTTCTAGCAAAAAAAAACGTGTGCGATCTGCATTAAAAATTATATAATTAGTCGTATGACTTTTTATAATGTCTAGTATAGTTTGATCAATTTTTTAAATATACGATTTTCATATAGATGGGAACTATATGTTCAATGAAAGTTTGATATGGTGACTAGTCAACACAACTGAATTTTCCGCATCTATGAAAATATATTGATTTTTTGGTCCAACTTGTTGCTGCTTTGTGGTATGTAACAAAATAAACATCAGACTGAGAAATTGTGAGGGACAAGAGAATCATTTACAGTAAGTTAAATATTTTTATTACATATTGATAATTTATTTTTCTTAATTATTTCTTTATTTAAAATTTTTACAGTGAATAGTAGTTAATAAAATATAAATTGAGCTTGTACATGTCGGAATATATTAACACATTTTTAGTTTGTTTGTTTTGGTTTGATAAACCTAAATACATTTTCAAATATATATATATATATATATATATATATATATATATGTGAATATTATAATATTATATAGTCTATTAATATAGTATATTAATATATCTATAGATATATTTTAATACCAAAATATATATCTTATATTTGTAAAAAGTATGGTACGATTATGACGCTTAAAATAAAAAATAAACAATTCCTAATATTCACTAGCTAATTTGTATATTCAGCATATTGCCCAAAAAAAAACGAACTTAATAGTTTTCAAATTTATAATAGAAAAAATTGAATTCATGTAGAAGTTCTTTCCTAATATTTAAAATAATAGTACATTTTTACGTACTTTAAATCTTAATGTTTACTATTAAAAAATTATGAATTATTTTAAAATTTAATTTTTCTAAGAATATTGAAGATGTTAAAATTATTGAGCGCAGTATGTTTTTTCACTTGTGAAGTTAAAGTCGTATATTTTTTTAGCTATTTGATTACTCAATATATGGTAAAACCATTAATCACATTTTCTTATAATTTCTTCAAAAAGTCTGAAAATATTCTATGTCTGAAAAGACTTTTTTATTGCTTCAAAAGAACTGCATACATATGTCTAAAACACGCAAGCATACCTCAATTTTTGTATATGCCAATAGTTATACGGCCTTAATGTATAAATTTCATTTCCATAATAGAAAACATTATTGCATTAAGTGTACGACGAAATGATTTAATATACAAATTATTGCAACCTAAATTATTAGTAGATTTGAATAACTGCTATTTGTGTTATCTATCTTCACTATCTCAATATATTAAGTTCATTTATATATAAACTTTACTCACTTTATTTAGACTGTAATATTGTATTTTCCATTTTCCATAGTATATGAAAGACATGGAACAAAATATTCAAGGATTTCGGCCTATTTACATCGCAGCCATGGCTTTTGGATTAGCATTTGTAATTCTTGTAGGTATATGGACTGGAGGGTACCTGGGAGGATTTGCTTGGAGAAGTACTCCAGAACTTCAATTCAATTGGCACCCTTTGCTCATGTCGATTGGAATGATATTTCTCTACTCTAATTGTAAGATTAAGTAATAATTAATTTCATTATTTTATATTTGCTAATTGCTATAAGATCTTTGCCCCAGCTAAAAGAGAAATTTTGCTTCAACAATTTCAAAATTCTAATGTTGCTTAGCATAGGAATAAAATCAGGGGGCTCTTACTCTTGTGAGGTGAGTTTTGGTGGGTTAAACAAATTTTATTATTTGTTGCTATACCCAGTACTAATAGTATCTTTTGTATATAGCTAAGATATATGACATATATATTCTAATCTGTGTGTTCTTTGACGTCCACAATTAAGTAAAATACATTTTTAGAACATGAAGTAGAATAAAATGTGTTAGATATATTAAATGTAATTTATACAATTATTGATATCATAAGGTTGTTTAACGGATATGAATTAGAAATCGCGTTGATTAGTCGTTAGTGAAAGCGAAAACTATATTTTCGAAATAATTAATTGAAAATTCTATCTAAATAACTAAATTTTAATTCTTATTCATTAAGTCATTAAGTCATACAACTTGCCTTAAGACAAAAAATCGCTCACATTTAGCTTAGTTTGTTCTTCTTACGAAATAAGTTCATTATCTTTATGTATAGAATTCAGTTACCCTTGAAATGATCAGATCTAAGGTCTCCGTTGACTGAGGCGTTTTATGAAGTGGCCAAAAATAAGTGAGACACTTGTGTGAAATTCGAGATTGACCCAATTATTGTTAAAACAGTATTATGCTTTTTGTTAATTATGCGATGCCACGCAACAAGTTGAAATTATATGTTGAAATTAACAATAATGTGCGATCAAGATATTAATATATGAATTATTCCAAATTAAGAAATTATTAGTATCAAATGAAGGCATTTCATATTTCATTGCTTTTTAGCTATGCTGATATATAGAAGCTATCGAAGTTGTTGCAAAAGAACTCTTAAAATTGCTCATTCAGCTATACATGGATTGATATTTTTGCTTACTATTATCGCATTGATAGCAGTATTTGATTCACATAATTTGCACATGAAGGATGGACAAAGCGATCCGATACCTAATATGTATTCCTTGCATTCGTGGATTGGATTAACTGCTGTTATATTATTCGCTTGTCAGGTACATTTGGTGTTTATATATAATTATATTTATTATATATATATATATATATATATATATATTAATTATAATATGTATCGCGCATAATTCAGGATTTCTTTATAAATTTTGATAGGGTGATAATAGTTTATACTTATGTTTTATATTTTATTTTATACATTAGAATGATAAACATACTAAATCGTCTACACACTGATAATTGAATCATCTGTGTGTTCTGAAAAAATCCGATACATACATTTTCAACGTTTTATTCAACCATTTGACCGATTTTTTTAACATTTTGAATTACAAACTGTCACACTTAGGACATTCAGTAATTGTTTTGACTTTATTATATGGAGTTTTGAATGGATGGCAACTCAGTAGTTGTCTAATCCAATTATGACTAATTAACTATACTCGAAGTATTTGCTGACATGTTTATTATATATATGCAACTATACCCATGAGAGGCGATTTTCACTTGAGGCTATATTTGAGATCTATAGCATAAAGTGTAAATTAGACATAAAAGTTGCCTGATGTTGGGCTTGAGCGGGAATCGAACCAGCAAACTCGGGACTAGTTGGTGCTGGCCCACATTTGAACCGACATCGCTACCGCTGGCCCTTGACCGAAATATTATCAAAGTTGTTCGGAAGTATCTCCATTTTTGCTCGGAAAAAGTGGGATATTGGCATTACCGATTTTTTTAAAGGACCTTCGAAAAATAAAACCAAGTTAGCGTAAAAAATTGCCTTTATACTATACCCCTTTCGCCACGAGAGTGTTATTTGCAGAAATGGTACTGCTGTATGAAACGTCGAGCAGCGCTTCTGAACGTACTAGACCCAACAACAAATTTTGGGACTTTTTAATAATTATCAATCAAAATGTACTTAAAGTTTAAAATTACACTTCTAAACAACTAAAAATTGCTATAACAAAGCATTTATAGTGATAAATGTCGGGGCAAGGACCAACACACTGGATGTCGTCTATAGGCGACACCTGCTCACACAGGTTGTCATGCGGATGTCGTCTATATCAGACATTCCCACACAAAAGTAGTCATAAAAAGTCAATATATAAAAAAAGAGCAAACTTTTTAGTAAATTTCATATCATTTCTAATAATGTATTTCTGAGAACTCATGATTTTAAGAACAAAAATAAACCTAGGGAGTAAATAAAAAACTGTATAATTTGTTGGCTATTTTTTCTTATTTTTAATTTCAGAGAAAAATATGATAATATTTTAAAATGTTTTATTAATCCTCGAAATCACACTTTATTTAAAGAAGCCGCACTACTATTAATGATGATCTCATGACATAATAGACTTAATATTACACGATAGGAGGAAATAAACGTAGTGAATATTCAGAATAAATGTTTTAGAAAAATACTATTGTACTAGTTTGAAAATGTTTTACATTTCTAGCTATTATCAGGATTTGTGACATACTTATATCCAGGCCTAACATCTAATATCAAAACAACCTACATGCCAGTTCATACATTTTTTGGTATAGCAATATTTATATGCGTCGTGGCAGCAGCACTACTTGGCTTGTCAGAAAAAGGATTTTTTGTAATGTAAGTGATATAATATTTAAATTCGTAATTCGCCATAAAAATACAATTAAAATTGTAATTAATACTAAATTTGCTTAGCTGCATTATATATTATAAAACTAACTATCATTATTAATAATAATTAAAAATTCTTATAAAGATATACTATCATTGTCACATTTTCAGGAAAAGCAATTATGCAGATTTACCGGCTCAAGGAGTTCTTTTAAATTCTATTGGAATATGTTTGATCATATTCACGGGTTTAACAACATATCTGGTCACCGAAAAAAGCTATAAACGTATTCCTTTACCAGAGGATGAATTTTTATTAACAAGTCATGACAAATAAAGACATAATAGTAAAAGGTATGGCAAATAGGATCCCACACTTTTTATACCTTCCTTGTCCTTACCGTAGAACCCTATTTATTCGACATCGTTTTTTTTATAAAGTTTGATTAAATAGGAGTCCATGGCAAGGCGCAAGGAATCCATAGCACAAAAAAGTTTGGAAACTCAACAGTAATAAAGTTTAGTATTGAACATTTAAAGAAAAACTATATATTAAGTTTATATATTTATTAATTTAATTTAAAGTAACAAAATTAAGTAAGACACAAGTATAATTAAGTACCCAAGGTTCATCAAAATATGTTATTTAACCATTTGTCAATTCCTGCATTTACCGATAAATCCATTAACCCTATATTATTATCAATTCATTATTATGTTACTTATAATAGTATACATCTTACGTATCTTTCCACCCAGTATACATCGTATATTCTACGGCATATACGCAATATTTTTGATTTACGACCTGTACTTTACTTTAACTCTGCCGTGGATTGAACCCGGGGCCTTCGCGTGGTATTAGCTCACCTTAACCACTACTTTATTGGTTGCCATTATTGCCATTGGCGCCAGATTATAATTAGTTCACTTATTATACGAATGACTTAAATACGAGTCGAGAAAATATCAAACTTAATATAATAAACACATTGTTTAGTTTATTAGTTCCAGAATATCAATCTTAAAATACGGCCTTTAATAGAACGAACATTGCATAACTTTGACGAGGTAATTGAAATTATTTATTTATTGGAAATAATCTTTAACGATTTAAAACAAGTTAATCTCAAATTTTGATGGATGTTTTTGGAACTTGCTTTAGGGCAAGATATAACTTTCTTCGCTGACGTTGACTCCTAATGGAGATTCGTATGGATCACTTGGGAGAGCACGTATTTTGAGATGAGAAAGTACTTTATTATTAACTACTAATTACAATCTTGATCATTATTGATAGCTATGCGATTATCAAAGTGTAATTGCCACATTATTACTATTTAACTCATCTGATTAATACTCTGACTATTATCTATAACTTATATCTCATTCGCTCTCCAGCCTTCAAAATGTTTAGATCGATTAAGAAAAACGTTATCAGTTAAGGGGGGCGATACATGTAATCGCCTTAATTTTTACCATTTTTTGAGGACTTTTTAAACTGGGAAGGAATGATTGAATTCTTTTGAACCTTTTTAGGGTTATTTATTATATATTAGAATACACAAAAAAATTTTTTTTTTAATTTTTTTTTTTAAATGGCTGCCGTAAAAATAAATCTGCCAAGAATCTCGGAAAACGCCATCAATTTGCGGGCGTTCTCACTTTTCGTACGGTGATCTGAATTTAAAAAAATTAGTTTGTACGTGTTTATAAAACATATATCTTCTAGTTAAACTAAAAAAAAATTAAAAAAGTCACAAAATCGTAAATTGGCACACCTTAGAAAAAAAAGTTCCATTTTTCACCTGTTTTTCAATGGTTTTTTTTGGTAAAAGGGTTAATTTTTGAAATTTTTTTTGGAATGTTTGAGGTTTAACTAGAAGCTATTACTGTACAGTAGATGTGTGCAAAATTTCATTGGAATCGGTTGAGAACTTTTTGAGTTATCCCGCCCGCAAATTTCAAAAATGTCGTTTTGAGAAAAACGCGTTTAAAGTTTTGACACAGAAACAGATAAGAGTACAATAGCACTCAAGCGTCGAGTTGAGGCGTGGCACTTAAATGAGTTTTTATTGTATAAATAATGATAATTTTGTTTTGAATATTTACAGGCATATTTTTGAGATGTTATTGTAACGATTTATGAAAAAAAAAATCGATTTTTTTTTCTTGTTACATGTATCGCCCCCCTTAATGTATTTATTTTACTATAATTATGTACTAGCATTTTTTGTGACGTGTGTTACCGTACTATTGAATATAGTGTTTTTGTTCTAATAGTTTCCCTTTAGAGAAGTAACCTACTGTTAAATGTTAAAAAAGTTTGCGCAATTATTCCATGATAAAACACAACATATGTTTTGAATCAATTGAAATATATCTCGCAAATAAGTGGCATTGTAATGAGTACTGTTAATTGTAATGCAAACTAAAGAACTACAGAAGCAAGAAGATAAAATAAAGACGTGCATCCTATAAGTGCACGGCGACCATTAAGAAAACATTATCAGAATACCCCCTGTCTTAATCCAAATGGCACCGACCAGACATTACTTTGAGGTACTTAATAATACGAATACAATCCGTCCGTCTCCAATTTTCGTTAATGTGGTACGTGACATCAAACCTGAACTGACAGAATTGGATACGACGATCATTAATTATGAGACATTATGAGAATATTGGCACCAACCAAAATAGGATAAACTTTAATATGAAATTAAAACTAGTGGTGTAACACATCGTTAATATATAGTAATATAACATTTATAAAACAGTTTCAAAATTTTTTGAAATTTTTTATAACATTTGAAAAACTTGAAAAAAAACGACCTTTTGATAATTTTAACAAAAAAAATTTTATTCTGAAGCGATTGCGCTGCTTTTAACTATTTTAGAAACAGACTATCGAAGCGCATAAACGCCGCGTCGCAGTCAAACGATTAAACATTATAAATCATGATACTAAACCCATAGAAATATAAATAAAATTTGTACTTATTCAAATCTCCATAAAATATCAGATAAATAGATGTGCATATGCCTAGGGGTCATTTTGCGGATTAATACATTCGCATTTATTTTTTATATAATATGTATATTAAAATATTGTTCTGCACTTTATGGATTTTGTAACCAGTAAATGAATTCTGCTAGTTTTGAAAAAGTCAAAATATTTCAAGTACTATAATCATCAGTATATTTAAAAATTCTAATACGTTATGCCATCCCAGGATAATGCATTGTAGACAGACAAAAAACAGAGAAAGAGACATGCAGACGGACAAACCAAGAGACTCCTGCAGACAGGCAGACAGACAGACGGACAGATCAAAAGACAAACAGAGAGATAAATAGGACGCAGACAGACAGACAGACGGACTCATTTTTATTATACTAATAATATACACTATTTATTTTGATTTGATTAATACTTTCTAGAAACCTTTGGCGTTGGACTGCTAATGTTGGACTAACTCTACCGCTTCAACTGTATCAGGCTGACAATTGCGTTTTGAAGACTGCTACTGAAACCCTTTCATCTCTATGATACGAGCAATAATTTATTTCATGATCTACAAATATCAGGAATTTTATTATATGGGGCAATTTAAATGAATATATGTATAAATATTTTGCCAGCATTATCATAAATATTTATGGTACCTCAAGACAAACTGTAATATTTCTCTTTTATTTAAAACATGATGGCTTCTATATTATGTTATAGATTTATTAATAAATGTTATACAAGATACAGTAGAATCTTATTTATTTGTAATACTTTTTAACCATTTTGGTAAACTTGATTATATTTTCAAAATATTAATAATTCACTGTTGTTCAACCGTAACAATATACTGAATCCGCCATTAAATTAAACTTAACTGATATACAATTAAAATTGCAGAAATCATAAATCAGAGGAATCCCGAGCCAGAACAAAATACAATGAAATTTCAACATATATGTATTTTAATATCAACTTACTTGGAAAATTTTGATTGGAATTGGAAATCGATCAAAGGTTAAGGAAAAATATGAAACACGCCCGGTACTGTGTTCAGATACTAGCTAAAATACAAACTTTAATTATTTTTTATAATTAAATCGGTTTTCACAGGCCTCTAATATTTTACCACAGTCAGTTTAGGCATAAAATCTACGATTATACCAAGTTTCATCAAAATCCGAGACGAGATACGCGGGTTCTCGTTGTTAGAATGATGACAGGTGCACCCTGGTTCGTGAGCCATAAAATGTGAATGAACTATATATTATATTAAAGACTTCATAAAACTTGATCCACTTATCATCATTACAAATTAAAAATCACCCCCATTGACTCGTTGCTCCGCTGCTCCTTACATCAGAATTAAGAAGATTAAAAAAATATGGCCTATTAACTTGATCCAATAAGTTGTATCTAATAGTAAGGAGCCGTTCAAGTATTACGTATGCACTATAGGGAGGCGGGGGATTGTTGATTTGCTTATTTTGAGTTGACATGGGGGCAGGGGATTCTGGATGATGATTACGTCATAGATAGGTATTTTTTTTTTTTACCGAATGGCAACCTTACATTGTCTTTGCCAGTACCAAAAATTTAAAATAAGTTTGTTATGTTCGTAAGATTATAATAATTTTGTTACTCTATGTTGAATACCATATCAGTAAAATCTCTACATCCTAAATCTATTTTCTTATTTTTAAAATTATAATTATAACCTAATAATTACAATATTTAAAAAAAAACAATACATTAATTGCAAAATGTTTACGTAAGCATGGGAGTAGGGGCAGTGGTGTTGTGCTAATATTTTTTTGCCGGAACGCTAAAATTTAAAATCCGGTTCATAAACCGGTTCAAAAAATTTGCTATATTTCGATAAGAACTCACAAATCTAATATATTGACTTCTTATATAATTAACTCTATTATATACAGCTAGTCTATACATTAAATTGTACAAGTATGAGGGAATCATTTAGTACATAATTTATATTCTTCAATGACATTAATTATATTTATTCTGGTATTATTTGTATTCATTAATACCTACAGGTATTTATTATGATATAAAAGTACTCAAGATTTATTACAATACTTTATAAGACTTAAACTAATAATATGATAGATAACCTATTACCTACCATACTATACTATATTATTGTATATATAGATAGATAGATAGATATCTATCATACCATGAGATACCTATACCGTCATTATCTTAATATATACCTACATACCTTTTACTTCTTATAAATACTACTGTCTAATTTATATATTCACCTATATTATATAGGTTTACCTTACACCCTATGTATTATCTCTACCTATCTATTGTCTATACCGGGAATTGAACCCGGGACCTCCGCGTGGCTGTCGCGCACCTTAACCACTACCCTATCGGGTATCCACACCAATAATATAATATGGGACGCACTGTTGTTACCGCGGGTCATTTTCTAATTAATTAGATAATTAATACCAAGGTGGCGCGACGACAGGCGAAAAAAGACGGTTGATTGTAGCGTTACGGTGGCGTAGTGGTTAAGGTCGCCGCGTGTCACGCGGCGGACCCGGGTTCGATTCTCGGTAGGGTTAATGTAGCGTGTAAGGGAAATTATAGATAATAGGATATATAGTAGATATAGGTTAGGTGTATTCGGTATGCACTGTAGGGATTTGAGAGTATATGATGAAATATAGTGTATGGTATAGATATAAGACGTGTAGTATAGAATGCAACGTGTAGGCATACGTAAGGCTATAACAATACACGAGTAGGAACCTATGATGTAGTTATTAGCGTATAAAAAATGCAAATGTATATAAGATTTAATTTATAAATATTATTTTTTCTATAAGAATTTTTATCTCGGTATTAAATATCTAAAATATCCAAAATATCCGTTACTTTTGAAATATCAGGGTAACTCTTTTGCTATGAATTGTCAACTAATTTACCAATAAATAAATGCCAATAAAACAATGATTAAAAAAAATTAACAAAAAATTTTAGATTGTAAAAATTTACAAGCGATCGAACGGCTTATATTTTTGCCTTAGATGGGAAAAATTCATCCAATTATTAAAATATTAATTTTTTTGCAGAGTTTATGGTTATGTATTTATAGAATTGCTTTATTCGCTACCATCAATTTCCATTATATGAATGTCTTAAATTATTTATTTTATTCGACTAACGCCCGCTATGTCCGAAACAAGTCCAACTTATATCCGAAATATTAGGGCTTCAGACACTTTTCGGTCTTAAAGTAACATATGTGAAATTTGAAATACACTTATGTATTGTAATTAATATTTCAGTTCATACACCTCAATTTGTAACTAAATTAAAAACGACTTTGATAAAACCAGTGGTGTTGTGCTAATATTTTTTTTGCCGGAACGCTAAAATTTAAAAACCGGTTCAAAAACCGGTTTTCATGTTTTTTTCGGTTCCGTTCGAAAAGGAAAGAAACAAAAATTATTACAAAACCCATTTTTTCACATATATGTATGTTTATTACAATAATAAAAACGTTTAATAAAAATTAGTTGAATAATAACTTATAAAATTTACTTATTAAATCATTTTCTGTATGTAGCGATTTTTTTATATTTTTTCTTGCCGGAACGCGTTCCGTCTCAAAAATGATTTGCCGGAACGACGTTGGGAGGGGGGGGGGGTAAATAATTGTAAAAAATCTGCTTACATAATACTTGAACATTAAAAATTTTAGTATGTTTTTAAGTACCATGATATCTATCAACATAAAAAGTTTCATCAAAAGAAAAAGATCAACTGCTAATTACTAAGAAACGGCTCGGCCGATCTTTGCCCAAAACTAATCAGCACTATTGCCAAATTACATCTTTCGAATAGTTTTTAAAATTCAGAATTTTTAACCACTTGGTTACGGCGGCTACTGTCCACGAAAGTCACCCAAAGCCGGCGGGTGTCGTCCGTATACTGCCTTGTTCATAGGCCTATAGGGTGACACTTTAGAAAAACTATCACGAGTGACTAATGCTCGGCCGTACACGTTCGTATCACGTCCGTCACGTAGTGGTGACGGTCCTCTGAGTGGTGCCATCCGCTTCCGTCAAGTAAACTTGCCGCTCCTACCAAAATGGTTAAAACGTGGACGAACATTTTTACTTTTTTGCCTATCGCGCAAAACTAATAAACGGTAGTCCTCATCGAGATACATCGAATCGCTTTTAAATTTTTTAAATCGGTCCAGCCGTTTTTGAGAAAACGTCGACGAAGAGTTAAGAATCGGCTCACACACACACATACTTTTTTCAAATTTGGTCTCATTCGATTCAGAATTACTTGAAACGTCGAGATAACAAAATTAGCAAATCGGTCGTAAAAACAAACTTCTTTCTTCGGGAAGTTAACAAACAGCTTAAATTTTCATCTAAATAACTAAATCTCAATTAATTCCATTATTTACGCGTATCGTGAAGTTCATGGAACTTTCCTTCAGAATACAAAATGCCATTTACAACTAGTTAATGCTACACGGTGCCAGTTATTAGTTTTCGTTATGCAAATAACGAAAAATCACATTTTACGACCGCTCATATGACGTAACTGCGTAATGAAAAAAAATCTCGGTATCATTGTTAATCATTTATCAGTAGTCACTCAGCTGAGTCGTGGCCTCGAGAAATTTGTTGCCGGCCTGCTCAGCCGATGCGATGTCCGTGATTGGCAGTCGATTTCAGTCGAAACTTGGACGCGGATTTGTTCGGGTGTCAGTTTACGCTTTACGAAGCGACGACCGACGAGTAAACAGCTGACGACAATTATAATGTTACTATTATCGTGAAATAAATAATACCGGGCGATTCTGGCATTATTTATGTAAATATATGTCAAATACGTTGTTGTATATGAAATGCCTTCATTATTTTATTAGTGATATTCTTGTGTATTTTTTGTGATTGAAATAGTATTTACTGTTTATAAGTTTTTCCATAATGCATTGTATGTGCTTAGTTCACCGATTCTGTTCAGAGTGTTTACAAATATTTTCGCGTATCCGCAGCGAATTTTGATTACAATATACCACACAACAAGGTGTTAGCAAAATCACTGCGAGATTCTCACATATTGTTTAATTAAGTGAAGTTGAAAATAACAGTACATTTTAATATTTTGCATTTCTCTATTTCATTAATCTTGTAAACGATATTTTACCTATATTAAAAAACAGTTTCAATATTTTTATAGTATAAGTAAGGTGACCATATTCGTTGGAATTGCAATTTGTAGTTTTGCTAATCCGGAACAGGGACAGGTGTCTTTATGTCAATTAAATTAATATGAGTGATTAGTGATATGATATTGATCACTAAATATGATTTAAACTAGTGGGGTGTATGGCATCGTGCCTTAAGGCAAATTGCTGGAACTTCCCGTACCGTAACGAAATGTTCGAGGAGTATTGAATGTTTCAAAATAGATTATTATTAATATTGTAACATTGTCTAATATTTATAAGAATTATATACACTGAATTGCAAAGTTGAAATTATTTGTTTAAAGTATAT